AAAGAACTCACCAGAAGCATTTCCACCAAGAGACTCCTTGAGGCGAAGGGGGCTCAGATTCGATTTCACGCCGCGTACCGTGACACTCATACAGTCTAGGTGCCACATGCGATGAATCATGGCAACACGACAGCAATCAGACAGCGCAAGTCGAATTCAAACTGATAATTATCGCAATAAGTACCTTTCAGCGGCCGAACACGCAAATGAACCATCATGTCCTCCTTCCCTGCAACCCACAATTGCTCAATCACCCCCTCCTCCCCAGGCGACCTCGATTCTCATATCGTTTCCATCCCAACTCGATCGCGTGATTCCAGAACAACGCACCGCACGACTACCAGCGCCAGCCATCCCATCGGCACAGCACAAACAACGACGCACATTCGCTCACCTTGATCGTCGCGAGCACGAACCGGCGCCGATAACATACGTGCGGAATGTCCATATGTGTGAACGTCAATACATGCGAGTGGCCCTAGATCTCCGGCACGCGTAGCGGGTCTGCCCTCCCTGATCCAGCGCTCTGGCTGGATCCCCTCGCATCAAGGTCTTCGTAGCGCGCGGGATGGATGTCCACATGAAATGGACCGGGACGGTGACAATCTGGCCTGTGAAAATGGAGTCGATGTCGATGCATGGGCGTGGAACGCCGCTCGCACAGGAGATGGAGCAGAGTGACAGTGCATTCCGTGGCCTTTCGGGAACTGCATGAATTTGAGGGCGGAGTCGCACGAATGTAGGAAGCGGGACACGACGGCGGGCCACGGCGTGTTCAACGACCCCGGAGATGCAATCGCAGCATATACTGGATGACGGCATCGAGTACGCGTGCGTGCGCGAGCTGTTCGCGCGTGAATCGGTATTTCATCAAGGGAACGAACCGCTCATGTAGCCTGCGCTGGACGCCAAGCTGCTTGCAAACTGAATGAGCTCCATGAGCTATCTATGCGTATATTGCGGGTTTGACATCAGGACAGCGGGACGTTTGGACCGGAAATGTTCATGAGCGACTATACCTGATGGGATATTGCAAGTGTCGTGGATGGATCGGAGTGTTGTTCGCTTTCCGAATGTCATCACATACCCAGCGCGTTTTTCAAGACTTTATTTACTGATAGCACGAGGTTGTCATTGTTCCTCCACGGTTTGTATGTAGTACAGGAGACAGAAACGGACTTGCGAGGTTATAATCTCTTCAGACAGTCGCAGAGAGAGTTTATTGCGTGTTGATTTTATTACACACTATAGCCGGGCCCGTTGATCACCGTATGCATCAGCCCAAGCCAGAACACGCACGCACCAAATCAAAGATACTTTGATTCTCTATCACACCCTCGAGTAAATCCACTCTCCTCGAACTTTCCGATGACCCATTGGCGATATGCCCGGTCTTTTCAACCAGCATTTAATAAGCTAGACGAGCGCTGTATGGGTTCATTCACGAGGAGTGAGGAGGCGGTTCTATGATTTTCTTTCTTTACGTCGATATCGATATGAGTGCCCATGAACGAATCGGAGCACTGGGCGACGAAGAACACTCACTTTGCAGGGTGCCGTGGATGCCGTTGAGGTAGAGAGCACATGCATTGGCTGCTCCAATGTCGGGTCGCTGCTGGCGATCACGCTGCTCACCACTGGACGTCGAGCAGCTTTCCAAGCGAGTATCAACAGGACGTCTTCGTATTGATAGCGGACGTCCCTTGCTCGATCCGCTATCGAGAGGGGGTTTGCAGGAACTGCCGCAGAAGTGAACAGAGTAGAGATGAAGTCGCGAACCAGGAAGGCGGAGCACGTTCAGGAGGAGAGGTCAGACACAGAGTCACGAAAGAAAACGCGATAAGATTGCCCATGAAAACGATTAATGAGCAAGACATGTCAGCAGAAGCCCAGCATCAACATGTCCCAGCACGCACCGCGAGTATTTCCATCCTAGCATACCTCTTCCCATGAGAACGCTGTGCTGCTGCCCTTCCGTACTGCGACAGCCGGATTCCACAGGAACGCCTTCCGGCGGGATGCGCAAATATCTCAAATTTCAGCTCGCTTCTTCCCCTCCATTTGCGCGGCTCGGAAATCCCGGTCTCGTGCATTACGAGTGCGGACAGGTGCATTTGCGCGGCTAGCACGGGAGCAGTCCAGCACTGCTCCGAGGGGAGGATGGCGGCGACTCCGCATTGACGGCTTGCGTCGTCTCTGTGCTTGCAGTGCGCGATAATTGAGCGTCGTGAGGCGCAGAGGAGAGGGCAGTTGAGCTAAAATTAATGCGAGCAGAGTGCTTTGTGAGGGCAGAAGACGAGACTTCGATCTCAGATCTCAGAGTTTACGGTTGATCGTGTTCACAAACAGTAAGCATTGTTTAGTCATAGAAATCAGGGAGACCGCCGCAGGAACGCTGTGAAATGCTGAGGCACAGGCCTTGGGCGCGGGTTGACGTCGGTTGACGCCACCAAACTGATGCACACCCACGTTGTGCGCGCTATAATTGGCTGACTTTGACTCTCGAGAAGGCCGAGCTCTTCTGACAGCACGACAAACCGTGTAACGTTAATATTCTTTGTTATTCTTGCTTTCAGATACCACACTCATCGTGGAGCTCCGGTTCAGGTGTAAGTACAGGATCCACATGCGGTTGTAATGCGAACGAACAGTCTATCCGTCAAAAACAAAAAGTATGTCCTTATTTTTCATCCATTTCATTCCGACCGTCGTCCGCTGATATTGTCTGTTAATTATCGACAGGTCGAAGAAATCATATTTTTGTTGAATATCACCGCCTGGATGGTAAGCATCGTGGACGGCGGCCATTCTCGCCTTCATAGGCCGCTTAGATCGCGGATGTCGCATGAAAGCGGTGTATCAGAGGCGCCATTGGTCACCGCAAAGAAAGAGCATGCAGGATAGGTGAGATCAAATACAGGATCCCGGAAACGAACGCCACGATACTGCCTCAAGGAATTCACCAACGAATGAAGCAGGTTGAAAGAAATCCACCATTGGTATGAGAAACTGCAGCAGGACAGCGTATCTTCTCGTGTGAATGCTGTAAGTGGTCAATCTCTATGTGACAGCCTGACACTATGGACATTTATGGGTGAGATGCACGAACACCTGCTCTTACAACGTACTTCTCCGCCCACTGTGACAGATCGAACAGTTCAGCCTAGGCACCACGCGCGTGGCTAGATATGTTTCTGCCGTCGGTGCGCTCACGGCCCAGTGCTGCTCCGCGGTGGCCATGGGGAATATGGCGGGAGGGACATCGATGGCGGCATCGATGGCGGCCTTGGACTCTGTGCCAGGGGGGGTGTCGTCAAATGACCGCAGGCCGCTGCAAATGGACATCGTTGAGTGTGAGCTAAACTTTCGAATGCACCAGATTACTTACGATGTGATGGGCTGCGCAGCTCTGATGGCGGCTCCTGTCGTCCTTGCTCACAGACGATGCGCTAAAATCCGCGCTCAAGACAGCCAGTGCGCCAGGTACGGAATGCACAATGCGTGCATAACGTGAGTGATCAAGCATGTTAGTCGCGCCATTTCTTCTCCATTGCAGGCGATTCGCAATCACCCGCCTCTCGTCGTCAGTTCAGCTTCGCTCCAATCGTTACTCTCACGATCTTCTTGTGCCAGAACGCAACACCGTGCACGCTGACGGTCACGACCTGCAGCACGAGCATGCAGCTCGAGGAACCGGCCGCTTTGTCGACTAACACTGCCTAGCGTGACGTTCGGCGGTGGAGATGGCTGTCCTTATCTGCGGACTCTCCTGGCGTCACGGATGTGGTATGAAAGCGGTGCGTCAGCGAGCATTTCTACTCAAACCTTATACCATGGCTATGGCCTTGACGGGGCCCAGTTCCTAGGCATTCGGGCGCCCGAAGGGCTATGCGCTTCCCGCCTGTGTCTTGCGGACCCGGGTGCATCCTTTCTGCGCCGCAGATTGTGGTGCTGCTCTACGGAATTGCATATAAGTAGGATAGCCACAGCGGCTAACACGGGCAGGCCACCTCATGACCGCACTCGTGTTGTCTGCGCCAGTGCAGCGATGTGGTCAATTTGATGAAACTCTACGGTATGTGTGGTCTGATATCATCAATCGAATACCATATCCTGATAAGAAGTGTACGTTATGAGGCGCGGCATCCTAGAGCTACTCTAGCCGTCCCCTTTGCCCTCTCTCGGTCCCGTGGCAGTAATCACAGCTGCGGTGTTCATTGAGGTGCAGTGCGTCTACGATGCTGTGCACGATAGAAGTTTTTCCGTTCTCAGAATCGTCGCGTAATCCGGAGCAGTGCAGCAATGTCCGCAGAATACGAAGTGACTTCTAGCCGGGTGCTGCATATGTGAGATTAGATGAGCTTCTATCCATCTGCAAGGTACGTAAAATCCTGAGTCTGTGCGATGTAATATGCATGAGCCGTAATGACGCACTCCAGGGTACACATGCTTTAAGACAATGAATTTTTCGCGCTATGCAAGCGAGCTACACTTTTTTGCGGTGCGCTAGACACGCATGCACCAATTTCAAGATAGTCTGATTTTGTACTATGGCTAGGCTAGCGCACGAGCCTAAATGATATGTAGTCGATTAGCTAACAGAAGCCAGACTTTTTTTCTATCACGCCTTTGACTATATGACTCGTTGGCGATATACCCGGACTTCTCACCCAACATTCGATGTCGTAGAGGAGCGATGAGAGCACCTTCACGAGGATTGAGGGCAGGTCCTAGGAGTTCCTTTTCTACGTTGATATCGGTCTGAGCGCCCGTCAACGCATCGACACGCTCGGGATGAATGAACGCTTACTCTGCAGGTGCCGAAGTGATGCAGGAAGCCTTCAATGCCCAGCGTGTCCAGCTTGCTCTAAGATCCAACATGAATAGACAGTATATGATGCGACGCGATCAAAAAGGTTCGCAGCCTTGAACGTCACAAAATACTGTTCATCCTACAGGACGAAAATTCGTAAAGACCATTGCAAGCATCCGAAAACGGTGAGCGCGTACATTACGTCTGCGACCATACACAGCAATGCGATAATGTCCTTCACCTTTCCGCTGGCACTGCCGACTTGCTCCATATTCCACACCCCCTGGGTCCGTTCGCGATCTGCTCGATATTTACGTCGAGATTTCGACCAGCCGAAAGGGCGATGAGGCCGATTGGAGTACGACCACTCCGGTCCATATGAATCTGTGATGCAAATTGACGTTTGCGAGGTGCTACAAGCAGTCGGTAATGGAGGAAGATTTGCCCCGCAGATTGTCAAAATCGTATGCCTCGAGTGAGGAGCCTCATGACAAGCGCATGTGCCTCGCTGCGAATGCCGGATCTCACACAAGCAGCACACGGCGGATGTCTTCAGATGCGAACGACTCGATTAGATACGCTCACGCTCGGTAGTCATCTCACGTACGGAGTAGCCAAGAGCAAAACCGACCACATGCTGAGCAAAATCAATAGGGTTGACGCCTTCGCATTGACAGCAAACGTACCATGCTCGATCTGCGATCGAGGAGTCTACCAGAGATTGGCAAGCAAGAAGAACGTTGGAGCGCTTGCCATGAACGTGAACGGAGTAGAATGGGAATCATGAAGTGCAGTGTCGGTAACAGCGAAGGCAGAGCACGACGAGGTGGGATCGGATATAGAGTCGCGAAGAAGAACACTACAAGATGACCCATGAAATCGCCTAGTGAACAAGACACGTTAGTCGAAGCCCACCATCGACATAATTCAGCACGCACCACGAATTATCCCACCCTAACTTTAGCCTTCTCACGAAAACCCTCGCCTGCCCTTCCATGCTGTGATGGCCGGATACCACACGAACGCCGTTGACCGGGGGAGCACAAACAGCTCAAGACGCGACACGATTGACCTCCTCCATTTGGGACGGCTCAGAGACCTCGGTCTTG